ATTTTATTAAAGCCAATAGTTGTATAAAATATAAACAAGGATGTTAACAACAAGAGTTGAACCTATGACCTCAAACATAACAATTACAACACGTTTGGTTCACGGAATAAATTTTGAGGTAATAGGAATGCTATTCCATAAGGAATGGAATAGGCAAGGAATAGAATAGGAATTGTATTCAATTGTTTGGTTCGCGGAAGGAATAGACTTTAGAAATTATATTACAGTGTTTGGTTGATTTAAGGAATAGAAATGAAATATGTTTTAAAAGACATAAATACCCTTATAAAAATATGTGATGGTGGTGATGGTGGTGGTGACGGTGGTGGTGGTGGTGGTGGCGATGGTGGTGCTGGGGTGGTGGTGGTGGTGGTTGCAATGGTGGGGGCGGCGGCGGTGGTGGTGACGGTTACGGTTGTAGCAGTGGTGGTGGGGGCGGCGACGGTTGTGGCGGTGGTGGTGGTGGTGGCGGTGGTGCTGCTGGGTGGTGGTTCTGGTGGCGGTGGTGGTGGTGGTGCTGCGGTGGTAGTGGTGGTGGACTGGTAGTAGCGGTGGCGGTGACAGTGGTGGGGGCGGCGACGGTTGTGGTGGTGGTGGCGGTGGTGGTGTTGGGTGGTGGTTCTGGTGGCGGTGGTGGTGGTGGTGGCGGCGGCGGTGGTGGTGGCAGTGGTGGGGGCGGCGGTGGTGGCGGTGGCAGTGGTGGGGCGGCGGTTGTGGCGATGGTGGTGGTGGTGGCGGCGGCGATGGTGGTGGTGGTGGCAGCGGCGGTGGTGAAATAGTATAAATTTATATATAGGATAAAAAAATTATGTTAAAGAAAGGGGTAAAAAAGAAAATAGATTCTAAAATCTATTCCTGAGCGTTCAGTAATATGCTAATACCAGGGGGGCCCTAGTAATAGCTATTACCTTATTTGAGGTAATAGGCTATTACCGGGAATACTATTCCTGGTAATAGAAATGGTTACCAAACAAAGGAATAGGCCTATTACTGGGAATGCTATGCCATTCCCAGCCTATTCCATGAACCAAACGGGCCATTAAGGTTTAACCAACTAAGCAACACAAACTCTTTTGTACCAAAGTGCAAACAACGATTTTATAAAATAAGTTAAGGATGCCTCTAGGAAAGATAGAACTCATGACCTCTAACATAACAAACAAAGCTAAATCTACCAAGCCACACCAACTCTTATTTATTAAAGTGTTACACCTTATCTTTTACCTATAATTTGGACTTTCATTGTTTTTGTTACGAGATGAAAATAGATGTTTAGAAGATCTAGAACAAAAATAAAAATGTAATTAAATTTTTTTTGTCCAAATATAATGCATAAAAATTTAACAAAGAAATAATACAATTCAAAAGTTAATTTTATAGTTCTATTTTCGTTCATATTTAAATATAAAATTATTCACCAAAATTTCAATGTCAATTCATTAAATTACATGCCATAGAACGACCATGTGCGGTGCTCAGAATGGTGTGGAGGGGTTAAGGGAACTCTATGTTCAAATTATGAATCTAGAGTAAAGATTTTATTTTTTTAATGCTATCGGCTCTATTTCTCAACATACTGAAACACAGAGAACCAATAACGCCTCCACTAAGATTCGAACTCACAACCTTCCAAATGAAAGTCCAACCCGGATATCATTAGACCACATAGTCTTGATAAAGTAAAGATTTTATAAATCTACAGTATAGAATTTATGAATCTACGGTATAAAAATCTATGAATCTCGCGTTATGTACCTATATACCCGGTACTATTTTGGGTCTAGCAACCCGGGTAATAAAGCTAATATTTTCTTACCCTGTTCTATATCTATATCGCCCGGTTTATGGTGGACCCGGTCCCTATAAAACCATGAATATACCCGGCTTACAGGCACCCTAGTCTAGTGGTCTCTAGTCTATACCCGACATCAACCTAGTCACTTGGGGTTCGATTCCTATTAGTAGCGCTAGCATAATTAGCTGTAGCACATTCATTGGGTCGTGATCTTTGTATTTGTATCTTTATATTTGGGCCGCCATCCTGGACCTGTACCTGGGACTTTATAAGTACTATTTTAGGCCTAGCACCCCGGATAATAAAGTTACTATTTTCTAACCCCCGTTCTGTACCTATATACCCGTTACTATTTTGGACCTAGTGCCCCAAGTAATAAAACTATTATTTTCTTACCCCTGGATAATAAAGTTACTATTTTCTAACCCCCCGTTCTGTACCTATATGGACCCGGTTCTAATATATTTTCCATACAAATGAATTAGGATATCAATTCATTCTTATAACTGAATTGCTAGAGAACGAGCACATTTGCCTAATTTATAAGAATACTGAACATTGATAAATAAAATCTTCAAAGTTAGAGCACCGCATGCGTACATCTACACATTAGCTATTAATTTGAGCAACTATTTGCTCAAATTCAAGCATTGATAACATTAAAACACATAAACGATCCAAACCATACCTTCAATTTCACTATACAATATTTGATGTTTTAATTTAAATAATTATATATCGATCCAAATACTATTAATATATTACAACAAATCCATTCCGTACATCGCACGGACGAAAATACTAGTTTAATTAAAAATATCTTCCCTCTCTATTGTTTTTTAATTTTTTTAATTTCCTTCCAAAAAATAATTAATAATAATAATAAACCTTAGTTGTACACTTAGCAAATTTTTTAGTTTCCCTCCTGTACATTTGGCAAATTTTTTTTAGTTTCCCTCCTATACTTAGCAAAATTATTTAGTTTCCCTCCTACACTTATCAATTTTTTTTAGTTTCGCTATCACTCTCCTGTACACGACATACACTCACACCTTAGACCTCACACCTCTGCTGCCGTCTAGAATCGCCGCCGCCGCTCCGTCTCACACCTCCGTTGCCGTCTCACCCTCGCTGTATTCTCCCTCCTCTGCCAACCATCACCTCTTCCCTCCCCAGCCTGTCGACGTCGCCTCTTCCCTCCATCAACATGGTACAGGTTAGTCTTCAACCCTAAGTTAGTATTAATTCTATTGTTCAATTTTTCATATTTGAAACTTGTGAGTGTTCTTAAACCCTAGGTTAATTGTTGGATTTTTCAAATGTATGTGATACAGTAAAGTGAGAAGAGTATGAGAATGCTATGCAAGAGTTCAAGAAAAATGTCTCTGTAATTCTCTTTGAAATTGATCACTTTTGATATTTTCCTTATTTCACATCATTATTACATTACTTTTTGCTATGATTTCCCGCTAATGGCTTTCGTAAATGATCCTCTACTTCTCTATTGTAGAAGAGCAGCAGCTCAGAAGCAACTGTGTCTGAAGAATCTGAGCAGACTTCTGAGGTGAAAGATAACTCTGAGCATGAAGCAAGCTGTTAGGTCTGTTGCAACAAAGTTTCCTTTACTGTAGGGTTTGGTATTTCAATTGTTTCACAATTCAGACTAATTCCTCATGATATAGTCTACCGTTTGCATGTTAATGAGTGTAGTACTTAGATGGTTTTCATACTTCTGTTGAATACATACTTGACAAGAATGTATCTACATATACTTTCTATTATGAGAATGCAAACATGTCATCATATTATTAAGATGTGTGGACAATATCAATCTTGAAATGTTTTCCCTCAACCTTTAGAGCAGCTTTGGTGGTGATACATCTTATTATATACTCACAGGATTCCAGAATTTCCCTTGGTTACTTGTCTGTACTTATATTGTAACTTGTAAATAACTATTTTCTATATATCATATTTGAAGATCTGAAGGACCAATTAAGAAAGCGTTTATTCAAGAAGTGCAAAGTTAGAAGAATTCAGTTTGTAATTACAAATGGGGGTTTATCTATAGAATTGAATACATATGCTTTAATCCGTCCAACCAATCCAGGTTTGATTTTATTTCTTCATAGTTTCGTGAACCAAATATCTTCAAGATAATTGATAACTAATTTATTTTCTTCTTTCTCAGGGACTATTACTTGGCTTGATTCTGTCTCTAACCTTCCTACAAAGGTAATCAATCTTAATGTGACATCTCAAGGTACCTTGGGTTTTAGATAATCTTAGCTCATGTTTCCATTGCAAGCTTATGATGCATCTGAAAACGTTTTCTCACTAATTATGTTTATATGGATATAATTTCTAGGCCCTGAAGGGGATGAGCAAGGGAAGCTAGGAACTGAAATTACTGAACTCTACTATAAAAGGTGAGAATAACATATCATCACTCTTTCTTTGTTTCCGTATGCAGATAACAATAAGTACAAGGGTAGCATTTATATGGTTTTTGAGTACATGGACCATGACTTGACTGATTTTGCTGATCGTCCCAGACTTAGATTCACAATTCCACAAATTAAAGTACTATAAGCATATCAAGTAAAGAATCTAGTTATTGTTGGATTATATTGACCTTCAACTGCCTGGATATTATTGTGTCAATATTTCATGAAAAGTGTCAATGTTTAATTCTTGCTATGCATTTCTCTTTTTTTTGTATTGATTTCATATTGGCACATTTCAGCTCAGTTCCTCAACTTGCTCCTGTATGAAGCCTATGATGAACTTTATTTGTTGAGAAATTTGGGAAAAAAATAGGAAATAAAAGTAAAGGTTATGACAGGAATTTGGGTCCAAGACTAAGCGTTTCATTCATTCCTTCTCATCCCTTGTTTAAGATTAAAATGCTTAATTAACCAGTTACAATAACATTCCTGGCATATATATATATATATATATATATATATATATATATATATATATATATGTGTGTGTGTGTGTGTGTGTGTGTGTGTGTGTGTGTGTGTGTGTGTGTGTGTGTGATTTAATTTAATTAATTTGCAGCTGGTGTCAATACCCCTCCTGACAAGTTACTCCTATATAGCAACATTATCTGGAATTACCCTTTCACTGGTGCTGAACTGTGCATGTGTGTGTGTGTGTGTGTGTGTGTGTGTGTGTGAGATTTAATTTAATTAATTTGCAGCTGGTGTCAATACCCCTCCTGACAAGTTACTCCTATATAGCAACATTATCTGGAATTACCCTTTCACTGGTGCTGAACTGTGCATCTGTCATGAAGAATATTTTGTGTGTAAGCACGTACTATATTGCGCTATCTAGCTAGCTTTTATATATGTTATCCGATCCAATAGATCGAAATGCCATTATATTGCATGCATGCATGCTCAAAGTTGAAATCTTTTGTTGTTGTCATCAGGTATCAATAGTAACTGCAATGTTTATGCTGCAGAATAAGGCTGTGGTAGTTTCTATATATGCCAAATTTAATTTAATTGGCTTATTCATTATGAGCTAGATAGTTTGGGTTGAGTAGTTTAAGGCTTTAAGCTGATCTGATACTTTGAGCTGGGCATCCATATATAGGATCAAACCAAAGAGGAGCAGCTAATGGCCTTGCAATGACAACATATGCTTTATTTCTTATTATTTGTGTGTTTTCTGATTTGAAATTTCTAGCAAAGAGAAATGTTACATTCTTCTTTATCCTTCTTTTTTTTTTCCCATGAATTTTTTTGAAGTAGTTAGGTAGACTTGAGCTTCATTGAACTATGGTGCCAACAAAAAGAATAGCAGCAAACTAATAGATAAATTTGAATAGCATAAACAATTTATCCTGTCAATGAATTCAATTTAGAAGTAACAAAAAGTTCTGAATTAGGTTCACAAAGTAAAATAGAGAAAAGGTATGTGACTTGATGCATAGTATTGAGCATGGGTATGCTATTTTTATTTTATTTTATTTTATTTTTTCTCCTCCGCTGCTTCCTAGTTTTCAGTCAGATGATGATAAACATGAGCATACTTTATGTATGACAATTTATTATTAACAATGTCCTATGCGGCTATGCCTAATATATTGGAGATTTGGAACAGGGATTAACTGTATCCTCAGCATTACTAGATGGTGAAAAGTTTTTGGTTGCATTTGGTAGCTACAATGGGAAATACAGTAATAATGAGGTATCTTTCCAAATAGTGATTTACTATGTTATGAGCTCTTATATTCTCTGTTACTAGTAGTTCAGGACTTATATTTGCATCATATTATTCATATATCAAGACCACTTCCAAATTCTAATTTATATATATAATAATAATGTATTTGAAAAAGCAATTAATTTGCTGTTGTTCTGTTATTCATGGAAATATGGAACAACTTTAATATGTGAATCTCTTTCCAGTAAATTAGCAAATATTTGACTTTCTTTTGCGCTATAACCCTACTTTTATGCTTTCTGAATTACTCCTAACTTATTTCGCATTTCATTGCAAATTTATTAGATCTCTACTAATTTATTTACTTACTCTTTACACATGTAGCTCCAACAAGTTGATTATGACAAAGCAGTTATTGATCTGGTGCGTTCTGAATGGGCCAATACTCTATCAACTTATATAGAGTAGGTATGATTTGATCATTAGAACGTTGTGATCATTTAGACTTGGTTTGTGGAATTGTTTTTTGTAGTATTATGACTTGGATGATATATGATTCAATTAGAATTGGTCATGGAAGTATTTAGACTTGTTATGTTGAACCTTAGCTTGTGCAAAATTATGTAACTACATGATGGGGAATATACACCGGACATACGGAACGCCCTACCGACTTGACGACCCGACCCTGTGGCCCGGTCAAAGAGCGACCAGAAGCCTCGCCCGGTCACCCGGTCGTACTCTTATCAAGGCGCCATGCAGAGGGCCCTGGAACGGGAGACCGGAGACCGGGACGTGGGACCGGTAAGAGGGAAGCTCTATCAGTAGCAGAAGCCTCGCGACACGTGTACGGCTGCATGTCTGCCGCCTCTCCACCCGGTGCATGTGCGCCACGCGGCCGACATGCCGAAAGACCGGACGCGGTTCCCCATGACCCTTATAAATACGGCATTAAATGCTAGTGTGGGGGACTTTTGGATATTTGGACAAGCCAGGCTAGAGAGGTTCCCGGTCATCTTTCACGATCGAACCTCCTTGGACCCTTTGTATTCGTTTCTATATCAATATATCTTCTATATACGTTTCATTTATCCTTATCATTTGGCGCCGTCCGTGGGGAACCGGTACGAAAACAGCACGTCTTTACCGGTCCTCGCTAAAATGTATCCCTTCATGGACTTCTTCAACACCGGTGAAAACGCCGACGACGTCCAGCCGGACCTACGAGCACAGCTCAACGCCCGGATGGACCTCAACCAGCCACCGGAAGGAGTATTCCAACCGCCAGAGCCGACAAGCGTAGGGCCGGCGGAAGCTGCCTATAGGGATATACCGATCCAAGCCACCTATCCGGCCCCGGGCCCGGGCCCGGGATACCTAGATCCGGCATATCAATGGTGGGCCAGTGCACAACGTCTCTACCCCCAGGTGTACCCGCAGCAGCCGATGCCGGGGATGTACCCACAGCCGCCGATGCCGGGGATGTACCCACATCCGATGTACAGCCCAGTGCACAACTACCGGGTCGCCCCTACCGTCTTTGGCCCGGGGGCGAGCGATCATGACGGGGGCGGGATGCCGCCGCCCCAGGGGCCATGGAATCCTCAACCCGAAGCAACGCAACCTCAGCGTCGTCCGGCCCACACCCGACTGGGCTCGGTCGACTACTCGGAAGGACGCATGCCCCGGACCAGCGCGTTCGACAGACTACAGCCTACAAACTCCCCCCGGCGAGCTCGGCCAGCAGGCAGGCGGCCATCGCTAGACCGATCAGCATCCAGTCGGGGCGCAGACTCGGAAGAAGTAAGTTCCTCCAGGAGCAATCTCAGACGCGACAACCCGCCGAACATGGCGACCGGGGTCCCGCGTGATATTATGGAGCAAGTCCGATAGGAGTTCAATCGGTGGAAACAGGAGCAGACGCCACCCGTTCCCGTCCTAGAGACCAAGTTGTTGAGGACCCCCTTTTCTAGTGACATCATGCAGCAGCCCTACCCGATAGATCTTCGGGTCCAGGGATCAAAGGATTACTCCGGGAAGACAGACCCGGAAGAGCATGTCAATTCCTTTTACGGAAACATGATTATGATGGGCGTGTCGGACGCCGTTATTTGTCGAGCCTTCTTCTCTACACTTTCCGGGCGAGCCGCTGAATGGTTTAAGTCCCTCGAACCAGGATCCATCACGTGCTTTGCCGAACTCTCCACCAAGTTCATCCGTCGCTTCGCAATGTCTCGAACAGTCCGGAAGCATTTCACGCACCTCGAGGCCGCCAAGCAGCAGGAAGGCGAGTCACTGGCCGACTTCCTGGTCAAATGGAAAAACGCTATAGGGGAAGTGGAGCCCATGGATGACAGAACGGCGATCAACGTCCTACATTACTCTCTTCGCGCGGGGGCACTGTACCAGGACTTCATCGTCCACCCTCCGTAGTCGTACGATGAAGCGATCCGCCGTGTCACAGACCACGCCAACGCAATGGAGGCCAACTCCGCCAAGCGACGCCAAGAATCGGGGTCGGCCCGCCGTGACAACCGCCCGGAGCCCAAACGTGGAGATCGACAGCAGGCCCCCCGGGACCTATCCAAGCTCACCCGACCCGTGACGGAGATCCTCGATTACGCCCAAGGCTGCAACCTGATCCAGTTGCCCGAGCCCGGACGAGACGGCCGGGACACCTCCAAGTTCTGAGCGTACCACCGCAACCGGGGACATACGACGGACGAATGCCGAGTATTGAAGGAGGTGATCGAAGACCTGTTGAAAGAAGGAGAGTTGTCCCAGTTCACAGAAAAGAAGGACAAGGAAAAACGATGGAAGAAGCTCTTCAAAAGGACCGGTCGAGACAAAAAGGACAAGGCTCAGGAACCCGACGACGAGCACCGGCCCACGGGATCCAAGCAGGTGATCCATGTCATCTTTGGAGGGCCGGAAGGGGGCGATAGCTCAGAAGACCGGCACAGGTGGTGCCACAACTTGTAGGTCGGGCTATTAGAAGAGGCTCGACCGGAAAAACGCCCGAAGGCCGAACCTATTGCCTTCACCGACGAAGACCTCCCCCGGAACCCCGACCATGGGACGGAAGCCCTAATTGTCACACTCGACGTTAGCGGCGTGGACGTTGAGAGGGTGATGGTAGACACGGGCAGTAGTGTAAATGTCCTGTACCTGGACGTCTTCAAGAAGCTGAAATTAGACGACAAGAAGTTAACCCCAATCCGCACCCAGCTATCCGGTTTCACGGGCGCCACCATCGAACCGGAGGGCTTAATCCGGTTACCCGTAGAAGTCGGAACCTACCCCAAGGTGGCGAGGGCGGAAATGGAGTTCATCGTGGTAAACCTCGCGTGCGTCCACAACATAATCCTAGGACGACCAGGAATCGCTCAGATCGGGGCGATCATATCCATGCCGCACCTGTGCATGAAGTTCCGAACGCCAGCAGGGGTCGGCGTATTAAGAGGCGATATCCGTTCAGCTCGAAAGTGCTATGTCAAGGCGGTCCAAAGAAACGAAGGCGGCTCGTCCCGAGTAAACGCCATAATAAAGGGAAGTAAGGCCGCAATCAGGGAGCAGCCGGAACCGGCGGAAGAAGTTGAGGACATCCGTCTGTCCGATGATTACCCCGAAAGGACCGTTCGGATCGGAGCGACCCTACCGCCCGACCTAAGAAGCTCGATCGTGGAGGTCCTGAGGGAGTACGCCGATATTTTCGCCTGGGGACCACAGGATATGCCCGGAATAGCCCGGTCGACAATTTGCCACCATCTCACGGTAAACCCGGCCGCCCGGCCGGTAAAGTAGAAGCAACGACACCTCTCGGTTGACAGAAGGGAGTTCGTCCGACAAGAGGTTAGGACGCTAAGCTCGATTGGACACATCAGGGAGGTCGCTTACCCGGACTGGGTAGCTAATGTCGTCTTAGTGCCCAAACCGCCTGCGTGGCGCATGTGTATAGATTATACGGACCTCAACCGGGCATGCCCGCTCGACCCGTACCCCCTGCCAAGTATCCATCAGATGGTAGACGAGACCGCCGGGTCCGACCTAATGAGCTTCATGGACGCCTTCAAAGGCTATCATCAGATTATGATGGCGGAGGAGGACAAGGCCAAGACATCCTTCGTCACGCCGGACGGCTTATACTGTTACCGGGTGATGCCATTTGGCCTACGCAACGCGGGGGCCACATATCAGAGAATGATAAACATGTTGTTCGAGAACCTACTCGGCAAGACAATGGAGGCATATATCGACGATATGCTCGTCAAGAGCCTCAAGCGGGACGACCATGCCCAGGACCTCCGGGATTGCTTCGAAATCTTGCGCCATCACCAGATGAGGTTGAACCCCGCGAAATGCACGTTCGCGGTGCAGACCGGAAAGTTCTTAGGCTTCATGATGACTAAGAGGGGCATCGAGCCGAACCCGGCCAAGGTCAAGGCGATCTTGGAGATGCAACCGCCCACCACCGTCCGGGAGGTACAGCAGCTGACCGGTAGGCTTGCCGCCCTCAGCCGCTTCTTGTCTAAGTTGGCCAAGCGAGCGCTGCCGTTCTTCAAGACCTTGAAAAAGATCAATGCGTTCAAATGGGACCAGGAATGCCAAGAAGCGTTCGACCAGCTAAAGGAGTACCTTATGTCCCCGGTCGTACTATCCAAGCCGGAGCCCGGAGAGGATCTGGACGTTTACTTAGGAGTATCGGACCGGGTAGTCAGCGCGGTCCTCTGCAGGACCGACGAACAGAACGTCCAACGACCGGTTTATTACGTCAGTCATGCCCTGAATGGAGCGGAGACCCGATACTCTCGGTTGGAAAAGGTAGTGTATGCCTTGTACACAGCCGCGAAGAAGCTTACCCCGTATTTCCAAGGCAGGACAGTTCGCGTGCTCACCGACCAGCCTATCGGGTCCGTCCCGGCACGGCCATTAGGCCATGAAGCCCTACGAGGGTAGGCTAAGCCCGGGTCCGTCCCGGCACGGCCATTAGGCCATGAAGCCCTCCGAGGGTAGGCGAAGCCCGGGATCGTCCCGGCACGGCCATTAGGCCATGAAGCCCTACGAGGGTAGGAGAGGCCCGGGTCCGTCCCGGCACGGCCAATAGGCCATGAAGCCCTACGAAGGTAGGCGAAGCCCGGGTCCGTCCCGGCACGGCCATTAGGCCATGAAGCCCTACGAGGGTAGGCGAAGCCCGGGTCCGTCCCGGCACGGCCATTAGGACATGAAGCCCTACGAGGGTAGGCGAAGCCCGGGTCCGTCCCGGCACGGCCATTAGGCCATGAAGCCCTACGAGGGTAGGAGAAGCCCGGGTCCGTCCCGGCACGACCATTAGGCCGTGAAGCCCTACGAGGGTAGGAGAAGCCCGGGTCCGTCCCGGCACGGCCATTAGGCCATGAAGCCCTACGAAGGTAGGCGAAGCCCGGGTCCGTCCCGGCACGGCCATTAGGCCATGAAGCCCTACGAGGGTAGGCGAAGCCCGGGTCCGTCCCGGCACGGCCATTAGGCCATGAAGCCCTACGAAGGTAGGCGAAGCCCGGGTCCGTCCCGGCACGGCCATTAGGCCATGAAGCCCTACGAGGGTAGGAGAAGCCCGGGTCCGTCCCGGCACGACCATTAGGCCGTGAAGCCCTACGAGGGTAGGCGAAGCCCGGGTCCATCCCGGCACGGCCATTAGGCCATGAAGCCCTACGAGGGTAGGCAAAGCCCGGGTCCGTCCCGGCCTCGATGAGTTGGCGGTACACTCGAAAGTGTCCGTCGACGCTTTTGGTCGAGCCCGGGTCCGTCCCGGCCTCGATGAGTTGGCGGTACACTCGAAAGTGTCCGTCGACGCTTTTGGTCGAGCCCGGGTCCGTCCCGGCCTCGATGAGTTGGCGGTACACTCGAAAGTGTCTGTCGACGCTTTTGGTCGAGCCCGGGTCCGTCCCGGCCTCGATGAGTTGGCGGTACACTCTAAAGTGTCCGTCGACGCTTTTGGTCGAGCCTGGGTCCGTCCCGGCCTCGATGAGTTGGCGGTACACTCGAAAGTGTCCGTCGACGCTTTTGGTCGAGCCCGGGTCCGTCCCGGCCTCGATGAGTTGGCGGTACACTCGAAAGTGTCCGTTGACGTTTTTGGTCGAGCCCGGGTCCGTCCCGGCCTCGATGAGTTGGCGGTACACTCGAAAGTGTCCGTCGACACTTTTGGTCGAGCCCGGGTCCGTCCCGGCCTCGATGAGTTGGCGGTACACTCGAAAGTGTCCGTCGACGCTTTTGGTCGAGCCCGGGTCCGTCCCGGCCTCGATGAGTTGGCGGTACACTCGAAAGTGTCCGTCGACGCTTTTGGTCGAGCCCGGGTCCGTCCCGGCCTCGATGAGTTGGCGGTACACTCGAAAGTGTCCGTTGACGTTTTTTGGTCGAGCCCGGGTCCGTCCCGGCCTCGATGAGTTGGCGGTACACTCGAAAGTGTCCGTCGACGCTTTTGGTCGAGCCCGGGTCCGTCCTGGTCTCGATGAGTTGGCGGTACACTCGAAAGTGTCCGTCGACGTTTTTGGTCGAGCCCGGGTCCGTCCCGGCCTCTTTGAGTTGGCGGTACACTCGAAAGTGTCCGTTGACGTTTTTTGGTCGAGCCCGGGTCCGTCCCGGCCTCGATGAGTTGGCGGTACACTCGAAAGTGTCCGTCAACGCTTTTGGTCGAGCCCGGGTCCGTCCCGGCCTCGATGAGTTGGCGGTACACTCGAAAGTGTCCGTCGATGTTTTTGGTCGAGCCCGGGTCCGTCCCGGCCTCGATGAGTTGGCGGTACACTCGAAAGTGTCCGTCGACGTTTTTGGTCGAGCCCGGGTCCGTCCCGGCCTCGATGAGTTGGCGGTACACTCGAAAGTGTCCGTCGACGCTTTTGGTCGAACCCGGGTCCGTCCCGGCCTCGATGAGTTGGCGGTACACTCGAAAGTGTCCGTCGACGCTTTTGGTCGAGCCCGGGTCCGTCTCGGCCTCGATGAGTTGGCGGTACACTCGAAAGTGTCCGTTGACGTTTTTGGTCGAGCCCGGGTCCGTCCCGGCCTCGATGATTTGGCGGTACACTCGAAAGTGTCCGTCGACGCTTTTGGTCGAGCCCGGGTCCGTCCCGGCCTCGATGAGTTGGCGGTACACTCGAAAGCATCCGTCGACACCCGCGTTCGAGCCCGGGTCCGTCCCGGCCTCGTTGAGACGTTTGCCCGAGCCTGGGTCCGTCCCGGCCTCTACGAGTTGGTGGTAACACTAGGGTCAGGGAAGCGAGTGAAGCAAAAAACCGTTAACACAAAAATCGTTAACTTAAGAAAGTTTTTGCCCGACACAAAGGGGTCGAGCTCCCTTAAGGCGAACCGCCGGTTAACAAAAATCTTTCGGCCCGGCACAAGTACGGGGCCGGGCTCCCGTTCTAGAAGTCTACGCCTCGGGAGGAACCTGTGAGAGCGGCTCGTGGGAAGGAGGCTGAACGGCGGCTGGGGGGCTGTCAAACGGCTCAGGACCTGGGTCGGGTACTTCAGCGGGTAAGACCCCTAGGACCAAGGCCAGGTCGTCATCATCGAGCGACTGGGCTAGGGCGTCCCGGTCCTCCTTCTGGGCCCGGCGTTGCCCGGAGCTGAAGGCCCATTTGGCCAGTGTCCAGGCCAGCTCCTCACCGACCGGGTTCTTCAAAAAATGGCGAAAGAACGCCTCCCCTTCGGCCCGATCGCGGCACACCCGAGCCGCGAGTCCTTCCGGGCTATCCAGCAGCTTTTGAGCCTCCGCCGCCCGGTTCTCCGCCTTAGCCAGCCGGTCGTTGGCAGCCCGGAGTTTCTTCCGTGCGTCCTTGGCTTCCCTCTCGTGGCGGTCGGCGGCCTTCTGAAGGGCCTCGGCATCTTCCGTCGCCTTGGCCCGACGGAACAGGGTTACCAGGGTGCGCGTCATCTGCAGCAAAGGAACAATAAAGGTTAGCGACCGGTCCCGACGGAAAATTCGGAGGATAAAGGAAAAGACCCGTACCTGCACGACATCGGCCGCCCCCTGCTCCCCGATCTCGTTCAGCGTCTTCCCTCTCCCATCGTCGCCCGCCGGGATGATGTCCACCAGCCGGTTGAGCTTAGCTGCTGGATGCTCCCCGCTCAGTAGGACATTGATGACGGGAGTATCCGCGGGCGGGCTGGCCCGTCTGCTGCGCTTCAGAAGGGGGGCATCCTCCGCATCATTTATTTCCCGCTCCTTCCCCTTCCGGGCGTGAGATCTGACGACCAGCACGTCCGGATCGGATTCAGCCGGTTGGGTCGAAGTAATGCCGAGGGGGAGACCGGTGGGAACGGACGGGTCCGCCGTAGACAGGTCGGCAGCAACGTTCTTCCTCCCCCCGAGTGCAATCTTCGGTCGGGGCCCTGACGGAGGTGCTGGTGCGGCGATGAAAGCTTTGTCGAAACCCATACCTGAAAAAGAAGCAAAAGAGTTAAGATAGCGGTCGAGTGGGGCCGAACGAAGGAGTTGCATGAGGATAAATATAAAACCTCCGGGCACGGCCGAAGAGCCGGGAGGTGGCCGGGCGATGGTGATCTGAATCCGCTGGGGCTCATATTTCTCCGGGAGGTCGTACCGGGGGGGCTCGAGCCGGGCCGCTTCGAGCGCCTCGGGAGTCCTATAAGTGCGATAGTCGTAGAACTCCGACGAAATCTTCATCGCGGCGTCAGCAAGCTCGCGAGTTTCGTCCGGAGTGATCTGCTCAAGATAATGGCTAGGCCATTCCCGAGGAACCGGAAGCTCCCAGGTATACTTGACGGAGAATAGTCTCTCTTTATACCCGCGGTTGTTGTCCGGAAGGCGAAGT